CCGCTGTATTCCTATGTGATCCCCTGTGTTCCCCTGTATTCACCTGTATTCCCATGTGTTCCCCTGTATTCCTATGTGATCCCCTGTGTTCCCCTGTGTTCCCTTGTATTCCCATGTGTTCCCCTGTGTTCCCATGTGATCCCCTGTGTTCCCCTGTATTCACCTGTATTCCCATGTGTTCCCCTGTATTCCTATGTGATCCACTGTGTTCCCCTGTATTCCCATGTGTTCCCCTGCATTCCCCTGTATTCCCTTGTATTCCCATGTGATCGCCTGTGTTCCCATGTGTTCCCCTGTATTCCCATGTGATCCCCTGTGTTCCCCTGTGTTCCCTTGTATTCCCCTGTATTCCCATGTGTTCCCCGTCATTCCCCTGCATTCCCCTGCGTTCCCATGTGATCCCATGTGATCCCCTGTATTCCCCTGTGATCCCCTGCGTTCTCCTGCATTCCCCTGTATTCCCCTGTGTTCCCTTGTTCTCCTGTGTTGCCCTGTATGAATTCCCGACTTCACAAGTGTTCCCTGTAATTCTCATTGTTCTCCTATGCTTACCTAGTGGCCCTCTTTGTCCACTGTAATTCCCTGTGTCCACTTGTGAATCACTGTGATTTTGAGTGCGCACTGGGGTTCCCCTGTAATCCCTTGTATATTTCTGAGGTCCCCGGTTTTGAACTGTGTTCCCGTGTCCACCTCTGATCCTTAGCGTCCATTTACATCTCATGATCTGTCTCATGATATTCATTTGCGTTTTGTCAGTTTTTCTCTCATATACTATATATATATCCATGTATATACCATGTATATAACATGTGTTTTTCTGCTATCCCATATGATAGTTCAATCAAAGTAACATGATCCAATAAGTGCTTGTAAGCCGAGTTAAGATTCATGATAGTTATGATTCATCAGCTTTTTAATTATAAATCAAGCCAAGCTTTTGAGCATCTTGCTCTTCATCATGGTTTCCGATTCAATCTTTTTGGCAAAACTGCTTAACATTCCAAAGCCGACATGACACGGCTTAAAAACGCATGATTGGTTAATTCAATATATTAACTGAGGATGCGCAGTGTGGTTTTCCGCTGAATTTAACGCAGGCGGTCAGTACAAAATGGCGGACGAGGAAGAATTCTTGTCGAGCGCTATTTTTTCCAAAAATCGAAGTTTTTT